CAAAACAATCATTTTCATTCTTTATTATACTTTTAGTGAAGATAGAAGCTATTTAAAGTTCTCAAACTCCACATATAAGAAATAGTATATATAATAATAGTATAATAGTATCTCAAAAAAACATTCTGTTTTTCTACATTCAAAATCAGATTTTAAATGGTTCGTTTTCACATTATTGTGTATCTACGATTGCAACTATCTTTCGAATTCAAATTTGCGACCGAGCAACACTCATGCAATCTTTGAGATATTTTAGTTTGTATAAAGAAAAATACACCTTATTATTTACATAACAAGATTAAGAATAGTTTGCTTTGTTTCGATGCATAATTATTGCAACTACCTATCTTTCGAATTCAAATTTGCGACCGTGTAACACTCACGCAAACTTTGACACATTTTAGTTTGTTTAAATAAAAATATACATTATCACTTATATGATAAGATTTTGTTTTGACACACCAGCTTGTAAGACTAGTACACTGCATTCTTAGGGCAAGTTTACATGATAGTAAGAATATTTTGAAGCAATACGAGTACAAAGTGTATGGTTAATTCGGTGAGCACAGAAATAATGCGTAAGTAAGGAAAAGGAACAAGGAAGCGATAGTAAAACCCGTAAGTACACATTACCCTTAGGTACTACACAGATAGTAATGTGTTTTGCCTGAACATTGTGAGCCATGAATTCTTTGTTTAAATCTGTATAGGTGTAAGTTTGGTACAATATTAAGAATTAATGTATTACGATGGAATTTGGATTACAGGTAGGTATGTATATCATGTCGACTTTCGATAAAGGGTAGTAAATAATATCTCACCGAAGTCATGTGTAAATACATATGCCACTGTTGGCAAGTCCCATTGGTCTTCTCTTAGCAGCGAATTTAGTCCATAGTTTATCAAACAAGCCCAAAACGAAGCATTTTTTGAATCTTTTCTGATAAGTATGTGTAAAATAAAACGAAACAATAAAGTCATTTCCATAAATTAACTGAAGAAGTGTATGTAATTATCTAAAAACTACAATGAAGTAGAAGGATCAAGAATACATTTACCAACATGCCAAAAAGAGAACCATAATTGTTTCTAGATACCTACATTGTAAAGTTTATAGCACGAGTATAGAGCTAGTAAGAATAACGGCACGTCCACGTTAACGCTTGAAATTCAAATTCAACTCTATACTTAAAATCCAAAATGTAAGACGCTGGCTTACTCTTTGACTGTCTAATACTACGTAGGTAGGTTAATTTGAATTTTGTTTACGTGTTGCAAGGCTGAATGATACAATAGTAAAAAACTTCTTTTCATACATTTTAAAAACTATTTATAATTAAAAAAGCCAAAAATTCTTCTTGTTTTGGAATATAAATGAATAACAAGTGGCACAACAATGTTGCCATAAAAAATCAATTTCGTAATTTAACGGATAAAAAATCGATTCACCGAACTAGAAGTGAAGAAAGAATCGATTTGATGGTCGATTGACTACCACTGTGGTTGAATGCCTATCGACATATTGGGGTTCCTTAGCGAAACATAAATATTATGACTAAAAATGGCCACTTTTTGTGATTGTTCAAATGTTGAGGAGTGTTGAAAAAAATAATGTGTTATTAAATTGAGAAAGTGTTCAGGAGGAAGGTGGTTTTATATAATCAACAAGTTAGTCGCTCTAAGCTCCAAATTACAATAATAAAAGACACTTAACTGTGAAAAACAATGAACAACATTGTAGACTTATTACATAGTAGGAAGTAGTTTATAGATATGTATAGGCATTAGTGATGTTCTGAATTGCTGAAAAAACTACAGAAATACAAGTTACCAAGTCAAAACTTTGGCGAAATAAAACCTCCCATATTCTATCCTCTATTTCCATACATAAACAAACCCCAAGCAGTTTTATTTTGTATCTTAGCTATAGAATGACCATTTTTATGTCTGACAGCTTGTTAGCGAGCGAATTGATTCTAATGTAAGTCTGTCACGCAATACTGCATTTACATATACGATACAAGCGTTTTCAAGTGACATCAATGCTCTGTACCACATAATATGGTAAATTATTAAATAGGGTGTTGAGATGTGCGGTGTAGTATCTTGCTGTTGATATCTTATCTTTTGCTTACATTTCTCACCTCATACCTACGTATTTAGGTAGATACAGATAATACTTACTTAACTATCGGAGTATTTAAATAGATACTTATTCAACTGCACTTTATGTTTACTAGATGACCCGAGAGAATAACTGATTAAATAAATATAACCTTTTAAGTAGAACGTAGAGTCGGAAGTAAGCAAATTCTATGAACAACTGCATTTCAATTTATTTAAGAAAAAAACGTTTATGTCGATATCTCGTAGTAAGACGTACAATATCTTGTTAGAAATGATAATTTTAGACGCCCCTAAATGTGGTAATCGATGAAACAGCTGATTGTCTTATCTGAATTAACGTAGTACCTCAACTCCATCTAGCAGAAAGTAGAAGAACTACTGACTCATCAACGCCATCTATGCAAAAAATAATGCAAGACCTCATCCACGCACTACTACATACAAAAACTATCTCTGATCTGTTCACTCGTATCGGCGTCGACAGAGATGCTCGCATCTTCCAAGATGTCTTCCAAATTAAAATTTAAATAATCTTGCGTTGCTGATTGGTCAATTTAAAAGCGGGAAAACTAGTTTTTGTTCAATGCACCAATGAGAAAGGAGAAGGCGTGTGCAAAATGAGCGGCCATGCTACTTTAGGTGGAGCCTGGGATAAGATCCTCCTTTATATTCCTGACGTATGCACTCATTTGAGTAATGGATCATGGCGCAGAACTACGTGTATTTATAAGAACTGCTGAGTTTGGGCTTTTTATAATATTTTTGCGGGATGATACGTGCTTGGTAGGTACAAAAATGAATTTGTTTTATTGTTCTGGGTCAATACATTACTTTTTACTCCACAAGACACGTCAATGTTGAATTAGACATAATATATATGTCTATTAAATTTTGCGAGATTATACTAGGCATTAGGTAAATTGATCTTAATTTAACCCTAAGTGCCCTAAGTATACATTTCTCTCCAAAAGTAGTTTTAAGACGTATCAAAATATGGTAAGCCTAAAATAAAGCCGTACCTACAGATAAATTACCTAATCAACATAACATTTTGTCTAAAAAGTTATTCAATCTAACCACGAAAGCAAGAATACGACGATAAGAACTCTTGAGGAAAACGTCGGCAGTGAAAATTAGGTGGAACCAATGTTATGAATAAATATCGTATTGAGGAATATGTAAGTAGGTACGTTGCATGTCCAAAGACCGCATCAAAACTTGGAAATAATTTAAGAGTTTGAAATGAAATTGGTAACAGGCACCCCACAATGTTAAGGAACTTATCTACCGATAAAACGTAACTATAGAAACAAAGGCACAAGTAAGCAGTTAATCACTTTTGTGCTTTGGCTTATTGCGTGAAGAACACAAACAGAAATCAGGGAACCCGACATGTCGTAAACCGACGTAAAGTCGGAGCTCTTGAATGAAACATCGTCCCATAATTGGCGCATTAAAACGTCGGCCATTGACGAAATTTTATTGACACATCGTAGGCAGGATAACACACAACAGGTGACCGTAGGTTTTTACGAGCAACGCGTGCCACAGTAAAACCGACGTTGAAATCGTAAAATTGTAAGGAGCTTTAAATTGGTGCTAATAGAACATTATTGTTGTCTCAATGACGTGTTTAGTTTTATGGCATTTTATACTGTTTTTATGAATAAATAGCACGTGCCCGGGAGTCGCCCGTTTTATGAGGTTTCATTCACAAAGTTTCGAAGTTTACGTTTGAGATTTTGCAATGTTTTGTGCACAACTTACTTAAAACAATGCTGAAATTTATACGAATATTAATACTAATTATACAAATTAAGAAAACCATAATAATATGAAGTAGGTAATTTGTAAATTATATTAAAAATACCTAAAACCTTTTATCTAATTATTAAACTCCTACGGTATATTTAGCTCCAAACAAGAAATGTAGACGTAAACAACTCCCCAGGCTTGTCGCAGAAAGCGAAAGGCCAAACTATTATAATACCCCAGAGTGTAGAGGCCTGAAGCTAACTGACCGACCCTTATCTTATTATCTTTTTGCTGACATCCAGCCGAAGGTCACTTGCTATTCGACCCGAATTATGAAGACCAATATTGTACAGGGATCATTCCTAGCGACGAAATTCTGAAGATTGCATTGGAAAGAATGATATAGCAAATAGTTTTTGTTTTGTTTTGGTGTTCTTTTGTTTTCCTTTGACTCAATGTCGATAGTGGAAAATACTAACGACTATGCATATCAAGCCACCAATTAACAGATTTGCCCTGTTGCTCTGGAGGCGATATTCGAACAAAAGTTAGCTCGATGTGCTGTTGACTATACCTACTTAGAATTTCGAAAGTTTTCTTCCTAATTTCAATACAGTTCCAATATTAATAATTTTTAGAGATTGGGTACAATGTTGTCCTAACAAAAAGCGATGAAATTACAAATGTTGATATTAGATATTTATTGGTTTTATAGGCACCAATTAATTTGAATAAAAATATTACAGAATTGGTTTAATCTTGTTTGCTTAGTTTAGCATTGTAATGATGTACATTTTTCACTGAATAAATATTATTATTATTATTATTATTTTATACTCTCTCGCCTGTCGCAAAGCTTACAATATTTTAGGCTTTGTTATTATTATTATTTTCAATCTACAGAAGAATCTTAAAGATAATAAATATAGATATTTCAACTATTTCTACGTGGCAATGGTTGTAAAACAAAAAGGTCAATGTCAAGTAATTTCAATTATAAAATAAATAATACAGAAAAGATAGATACAACACTGAGGCAGAAGTGTTATGGGCACTACGCAGAATAATTTATTTATAGTTTCACTAACAAAAATTTTAGCTGTGGAGTCAATCCTTACCTTCCTTTCCGCTGCTACTTCGGTACTGCTTTATGTACCTGTAAAAAAACAATTACTTAAGTATAAAAAATGAAATATCAATATTACATCTAAAATGTTAACTATTACAAGAATCACATGTATTATAAGTATGTGAAATTAATATCTGGCTGTAGTGTTTTTTCGAAGAAATTATGCACGTAAAAATATATATATACACAAAGAAACGTTCATTAAAACCTTCTACTCGATCCGTACACGGAACCTTTCACATTTAAATTTTTTATAACAGTGTCCAATATTAATGATTAGGTATTACTGATACTTGTGTAGGTACCTCCAATATATCGGAATGTGTTTCAACATTATGACTTTTTAAGTAATCGGTGCTTTTAAAGCAAAAATTACGGGCCCCGTGAAACTTGATACTCTACAAGTGAATTTTGAATGCCTTTTTGGCCCCCAAACGACTAAAAGTAGAAATTTGTACGCTGATTAAATAAATCTTACAAAATGATATCTGAAAATGATAATATGTTTTAATACGAGATTAAAAACTTTCGATAAATTCGGTAGTAATACGATTCATAATAACAATTTTATTATGATGAGCTGTTTTAAATTTTGTTGTATTTTTATGCAGAAGTCGATCGATTCTATCGTTCAGTTACGACGTCCACAAGCAGAGTGTAGCGATTCAATTTGAGGTCGTCATCACAGGACGTAACCCGAGACACCCCATCACCTGCGCCCGATCCGTCACCAGCACCATAAAACCCGTCTGCCAGTAGTCTACGCCTTTTACGACCGATGTCTGATAAAAATAACCACATAAAACAACCTCTACATGCCGCTATTATTATAAACGTTACCAATGATATAAATGCGCAAACACCCACTTTACGACGGGAGAATATTTACGTTTTTATTCAAACTTTATTGCCGATTGTGCAACTTAATAGCGCACTTGAACTTGTGGGCTAGTGACACCGTTTGATACAAATCGCGTTTTATTGTTCCACTCAATGGACGGGCGAATTTTACGATCGTGTCGTAATCTGTGACGTGTTTAATATGAGCCAGACGTACTACGATATTACTCATGGCTTATTTAAATGCTCACTGACTTTCCATTTCGTTGCCATCTCTAGATTCTTATCATGCAACGTTCGTTTAAAGAAAATACGCTTCAGCGGAAGTGATTGTCTACGTATAATTTTATTTTAGCTCCTTCCATGTTTTTGTTTGCGCAATATCTTCTTTTTTATGCATCTTATAGGTGAAAGGTTTAAACACGTGATCCTTTCAGATATACTTATCTTTCTTCAATAACATTGTTCCCTCAGGTGTCTTCGTATAGGACAGAAGGGCCACAGGATCGAGAGAGCAAAACGTTTCATCCCCAAGGGAGGAGGAATTTGCATTAACTAAATTACTTTCGTATTTCTTGAGGTAACCTATTCTGCGGAAACAAATAATAGGTCGAATGCATCTGGGCCCGCATTAAGGGACATCTTTTTATTCGCTTCGAGCTCCGGTAAATATTTTTGTTATTATCTTATGTCTCCCTTGGAGCAAGGGTCGTGTTTTCCGAAGGGGTAGGGACTTTCCGATAGAAAATTGGGTAAATAACCCATCTATTATTGATAGTACAAGTTTCGTACCTTTACTTTATCCCGTAGAATATTTATTTAATAACAGCGGTCACGTCTTGTTTTCCTTTTCTACTAGATCTTACTGTACCTACACACAACAAAGAAAAGTAATAATAGGTATGTGTTTTGTATTATTGTTATAACTTTTTCAAGGATATATCACTAAAAGGACAATCAGATGGCATCATGCTACAACACTAGTTGTACATTAGTCATTTAGAAAATATAATCTGCTGACTCCCATATTATAGAATACCTACCCTCTTTAAAGTTAACATACTTACAAACTCACTCCATTCGAGCCAAATTTCTGTTTGAAATTAATGATTCGTTGCCCACTAAGAGCTTCTAGTTCATGCATTACTTAATTAAAGTTTTAATTGACTTAAAATAAAATATAAATCCAGTTATGTTAGCTGAATTGATATTAAAGATTACTGGACATAATTCATTTTGAACGAACTCAAATATTCTTTATTAACTACTTATTGAACTTCCTTTAAGAAAATATACAACACTGCTAATGAAGCAGTCAATATAATAATACAAATAATGATATTCCAATTTGGCGAAATATGGAATATTGCGGAATAGTCATTTCCGCAGCTGGAGGGAGCGCGGGATAACTTTCAAAAATAATCCGAAATATCAGTTGCTATGTATGACCTCAGAAGGATTTTTTCCTACAGTATGCAAAATAAGTACCAGCATACCAACATCAAATAATTTTTATTGTCACAGAAGTTAATTTCATAAAATTTTTGATTACGTTCGTTTATTATTTATATTAAGTAACACGAGTAGGTGACTATTATATTATACGCCTTAAATAATATATAAACATAGCAATAGCGCGAGTAGCGCTATTGCTATATTTATATTAATTGTACAGGTTATCAGAAAAGACCAACTATTATTTCAGTTGATAATTCTACCCGAGATATAAGAACAAACAGTTACCTGTTTAACAATTTTTTTTGCGCGTTTAGTATTCCAATATTTTGTTTCGCGATATGTTGAATAGATTTTTGTAGTAGACTTTTTTAAGTATTATAATATAATTACTACATTTTTATATTTTCGTATTGACAATTTGTATCTAAAATTTTAATACAACGCAATATACTATAGAATTTATATAGAATATACTCTAATAACACTTGAGTAACAAACTCTCTCCCGATATATAAAATACAATCTTAACACTGTTTCTGCATTACGTATCTACCAAAAACCCCTCAAGTGCACTAATAAAATTCCCTATATTATGTGACAGACAATCTTGTTTTACTTACAGGTTTTCAACTTCGGAAATGCTAATGTTATTTATCTACTTATATAAAAATTTCACAATACTTGTTTGCCTCTTGCTTTTTTAGAGCTTCGTTATCCTTTTATAAGATGGGGCGGCGAGATTGCAAGTGTAAAGTGCAACAAGGATAAGTATAAATTTATATAGTTCGTTGTACAATCAGAATAAAAAGTATACACGCCATTGAATAATTCTTATTCCTAATAAATCTTGAATTATAGTTTATATTTAAAGGTAAATGATAGATACTCATTCCCCATACACAACCATAATTTATATTCTATTAGTCTATTTGTTATTCAAATAAATCAGTCATGAGACATTCATTGTATAGTCACAATTAATCAGTTCGAATGGCGTTGACCCTGCCGTAATCATGTATTTTAACGACGTTTATAATATTACGGTACTGTCATTAAATTACTCGATGAGATTCAATGACAACATACGTTATGATATGCGTAACTTTATAGAGGACTGTTTTTAAGGTAGAAACTAGGAGATATGAACTTTTAGCCCATTCGTCTTGGCTGAAAAGAAATATGTTGTGAGATAAATGTTAATTCTAGAGTATAGACTATATATTTACTCGTATATACCTACGTAAGTTTTCGTCCAAATATATTAGGTAGCAATTGTAGCGAGTAACTGTGAAAAAAATATAATTTGCATGTCCCAACCACCGGCAGACATTTTTTTATTTTATATATACCTTAAACAAATAACAAACAAAAATAAAAGGATTTTATTCTTCAACACAAAACATACAACATTTAAGATAAAACAATGGTTAAATCTATGTCGACGAAAAGGGAAAAGCCTCAGTAATTTGCTGGTTTTCAGGCTTCACCAGGCAAGTATTCGCCACTGCAGACACCGTAGCATATAAAGACGTACTCGTCAAGACAAGCAACTTAATTTAAACTATTTATTTAATTAATAGAGACAATTATTGCAGCCATGAACAAAAAATGTAAGAAAAAGAAAATGGTCATTGTTTTTGCCGAAAAATATCGGTGTACCTATATAAATAATAAATTAATATATTATAAATTGCAATATTATTCCATTTATTTTATAAACATTTTGGTTGAGCAAGAATGAACATTTAGTAAAAGTTAATCATCAAAATGTGTAGGAAAGCCCACTAAAATATCGTGAAATAAAAATAAGTCACCTAGTGTAAGCCAAACTATGAGATCTTTGTAAGGAGTGATTTTCGAAAAGGATTGTATTCTCCTAACCATACCAAACAGGCAACGTTGCAGGTCGGAAATGCACCTCGTCTCAACATCGGGAAATGAACGCGCCATTCGTATGCTACAGATTCAGCACTCAGGATAGGGGAGGCACCCTATTCTCTCAAGACTGAAAGCTTTGTCATATAAGTAGGTTGGCGACCTCTATTATAAGTTAGGCAAATGTATACAGATCTATGAAATATGCAGAAATTGTTCTCAGAGAAAGATCAAATTTAGTCTTATGTTGGGGAAGTAGAGATTTACCAAAAGTTATAAGAGGGTAAGTTTCAGCCTTTTAAAGAAAATTTCTAATAAGAGTAGTATTATTTTTATATAAGTAGTAAATAGTAAGTAGTTTATTTTTCAGACTGCTCTGTCCACCTCTTCGTTAATATGGTAAAAAACATTGTAAAAAAGCTTTAAGAAATTAAAATATTTTTCGTATCTAAATTACGTATATTTGTCAGTCAACCATGACCACAGGATCCTTAAAAGTTCCGCAACGCTGATTTGTTTTAAAAAAAAACAAATATACGCGACTTAAGTCCGAAAAATAGTTTCACTTCCTACGTGTAACAATCGCGAAAACCTAACAACTCGACAAAATAGCTTTATTTTAAAACTTCGCAATTTTATACGGTAACTATCGTGTACATGGTAATATCACAGACAGCACCTTTAATTGATATATACCGTTCATAGCCTGTACTTTAATAACCTTAACATGTTTCTTTGCCAGACAACCACACTAGTTATGTGGTCTCAAACTAGAGAATTTCCAGTGCTATGAATATGACAGCACCGAAATTCACTCCAGGGCACTAATCAGAACACCCAGGCCGTAACCAATT